ACTATATCATCTCAATTAAAAAAAGAAACCATGAAGCTATGGATCTAGACACTCCTGATCAGAGAAAATTACTGACTTGAAGATTCAGAAATTCACTTTATTACGTCTCTGCTGAAAACTCAAGTGACTTGCTTTGAGGACAGTGTGCCTCAGACCTCTCCTTATAGGCGGGCATGCACCTTATGCACAGGTGTACACAGTCCTTCAGGGGAAGTCCTGCCACAGGTCCAAATCACTATAGTAAATTAATCATTCATCCCACGTGAGCCCCAAGCAAGGCTCTGTCCTAAGTGCTTCGGGTCTGAATGGAACAGCTTCTTCTATGCATCGGTAGGCACTGGTTGAGACATCTTTCAAAGTAAGTTCTTAACACCTGACTCTGAAGGGGGTTCGGTGGGGCTGGGGTGTAGTTCAATGGCAGAGCACTTGCTTACCATCTTCGAGACCCTGGATTTGATGCTCAGCATTGTAAACAGAACCCACAACCAAAGGGAGTTTGCAGAGAAGACACAGGTTTTAGGCATAGATCTGAGAGAGGGTGATGGGTGAGTACTATAGGCAGCTGGATCAGATGTAGTCCAGGGCATGATCTATATAGATATTTCTCCACTAAACAGTGTTTTCTTATTTTCTCAAAGTATCCATATGAGGACAAACTCTTTTTAAATTGTCAGTTAAGAAAAGTATTTCAAAGATGCCTGTTGGGTGGAAAACTCCACAGTGATCCAAATTCTGTGAGGCCAACCATAGCTCCTGTGTACACTGCTTACCCAGCACCTGGCTTCTGAGATCACGCTGAAGAAAAAAGAAATGGCTAGCTTCACAGCATGACCAAGTTTTATAATACTTACGCTTGAAAAAGAAAACCTTAGCATTTGGTTACATGAAAGAATGAATCACTATAAAGCACCCCCTCCCCTGATTCAACCTTTTATTAACCAATTTACTTAGTTATCTGAAGATTGATATGCCCAGATATGTTTATCCTGTTTACATAAGAGTATCTTAAAAATGGAAATATCCTTTGTACCAGAATTAAGTCAGTAGTTGCACATAACAAAAAAAAATGCATGATAACTTATTAAATCTTACATTTCTCACCTTTTCTGTGTTTATTTATTTATTTATATATATATTTTTCAAAACAGAGTTTCTCTGTGTTACAACTCTGGCTGTTCTGGAACTGACTTTGTAGACCAGGTTGGCTTTGAACTCAAAGAGATCTGCCTGCTTCTGCCTCCCAAGTGCTGGTATTAATGGCATGAGCCACCACCGCCCGACTCTGTGTTTGTTTATTTTAAATGTTTATTATTTATTCATTTAGTGTGTACATGTGTGTGTGTACGTATGAATATATGTATGGATACCCACACACAAGCATGTGTGCCAAGGGGTGCTGAATCAGTTTTTCTCTTTACGCCCCTCAGGTCTGGGGATTGACTCAGGCTGTCAGGTTTGGTGGCATGTGCCTTTGCCCACAGCCATTTTGCCAGACAGGGTCTCACGTAGTCCAGGCTGTTCTTGAAGTTGCTATGTGGATAAAGATGACATAGAATTCCTGACCCTCCTGTTTCCACCCTCTAAATGCTGGGATCGCAGGTGTCTACCCACGACACAGCTTAATATCACATTTCCCTTCCAACAGAAGCCCCAGGGCCCTGTGGACTTTCACAACTCAGTGAGTACAAGACGGCTGGGAGATCACACATAAGAAGATGCGATTTTCACAGTTTCAAGAACCTTCTTTGGAATACTCGTGTAGTTGCCATAAAAAGCAACGTATTCTAGTTCATCCAAAGATGGGAACTCTCTCAAATGGAAAATGTAGGCTAAGAGTTGAGGGTGGCCTTACTTAGGTCACTAAAGTAAACGATGATAGGCAGCTTTTGATGAACGAGATATAAGGGGACAAAGAAGGATGCGACTCGATAGCAAACTGGAAAGCACGGGATACGGAGTAATTTATCCGATCTACATTCTCAGTCAAAATGCTTATAATAGAGTGCACCATTTCATTAGGAATAATCAGAGGCAAGGGGGAAGGAGTCCACCCACAACCCATGGGGCTGTTGATCAGGATAAAATTTGAATAATAACAGCAAAGTGTCTTTCATTACAGGAGCTGACTGCTCTATGGAGGGAGGGCAGATGTTCACATTAAATTTTAAAGACAACCCTTACAAAGGGCACATGCTTAGGCGGGGGGGTGGGGGGGTGGGAGATATGCAGATTCTAAAGGGTAGAATTCCTGAGACAGAGGGTCCTGCCAACCCCACCACGAAATTCTCACCGTCCTCCCCGCTGCCTGCCCTCCCACCCAGAACTTAGTTCCATAAAAGTTTCTATAAGAAAATGGAAATCTCGGAATGAATGAATCCAAGGCACCCAAGAAGAGCTACAGGCTGATGGGAAATGAGTTTCGGCCGTCCCAGGTTCAGTGAGGTACTTCTGACAAGCCCGAAACTGCACATTAATAAAACACCTTCTTCAAAGGGGAAGATCAATCATCAGAATGTGATCCAACACACTCGACTAAGAGTGGTGTCAGACTCTGAGATAAAGCAGAGGCAGATTCCGGGGAAACAGTGCCTGGAGCCACACAAAAGCAGAGGCTTCCACATGTCTTTCATTTCTCTTGCTGAGCCTGCGAAACTCAAAGACATTCATTTTCACGTTATGTTCGGCAGGACCTTGGCAGCATCTCTTACACGCTCCTTAAAGTTAGTGGGGTGGGTAGGGGGTGGGTGGGATGGCACAGGGTTGTTTACAGGATGTCTCAGTTCTGTCAGTCCAGGTCCACAAAGCGTGGTTTTGTAGTGTGTAGATACAACCTCCCTCCATATTCTGCTTCCTTTCCTGTGGTCTGCTGGCTCCGTGATTTAATATGCGAGTGGCCCGTGACAATGTAGTGAAAGCCAACAGGACAGGCACAGGAGAATGTGTGACAGTGACTGATGTGAGGGTGATATGTTCTTGGGAAAAGAGAATGATGCATAGAAACTGTGGATCCTATATGACTGCTTTCAACCAATTGGTCTTTCTGAGGCTCTACTGGACTCCAGATGTGGCCTGTATGGTGGGTCACTGTGGAATTTTGAAAACCAATGCTTGAGGATAAGTAAGGCACTACGTTAGCGTTAGTAATGGAGAAATGTAAAATGTATCTCAAATTGTGTTTGGTCTCCATTCCTTTGGAGAATAGCCCCCAGAATATCCCTGGAGGGAAAGTGTAGGATAGTAGTCACCGTCTTCCTGTTTTTCAGCAGGGTATATCCCCAAATTATAAGTAGCCTCGGGGTGTTTTTGTTTTATGTTCTTTCCCTTTTGAGAAATACCTCCTAAACTACTGGGAATGGGAAGGCTGGAAGTTCGTTATCTACCCAGAAGAGTGTCAAAGCGTAAAAGAAAAGGGTCCCCTGGACAGGGAGTATCCTGATGAGAGAGAACAGTCTCCTGAATTCAATGTTCTCTCAGGAGACATAGACGGCACGGGACCCACAAGACTCCTTTTCCTGGGTGCTGCAGGATAGTGTGGCACGGTGGGGTGAGGTGCTTAGCTGTGGTGGCACTGGCGCTTGGGTTACTGGCTCAGGCAGGGCTCCACTGATGCTGGTGTGCAGCAGACAACCTGCGACATAACCCAGGGCGGCTATGCTGATGGGTTTGTGAACAACTGACAGTGACTGTCATTTCATAAATGGTAATGTTCTCTTCTCCTACTGCATAGTGCCAAAGGCAGCTACATGGGAACGGCCCATACTACTGGGCCTACATTTGTCTCATGACTGTTGACAAGTTGTCTGGGAGACGACGAAGCTGAAAAGGAGGTGACCTCTAAAATTTCCCTTGTATTCCCCCTTTGGATCAACCCAGGTTCCTTTGTCTGCCCAAGAGTGACAACACCTCTTTGTCTCCACCTCTACTCGCCGCTTTCCTTCCTTTGAAAACCATCCCCAAAGCTACTTTTACTTGGATACCTGCCAGGATGACTCCCAATTCAAGGATGGAGTATATGGTAAATACTTGAGAGTCTTATGGCTGGCCATTGTTAATGAAAAGTATCTTTGAAAGTCTTCAAATCACTCCATAAAACCTGATACTCTTAAAGCACAGCTCTCTCATGGTGTGCTATGTCTCTGACTCTCTCTGTGTGTCTCTTTCACTGTTCTTGTTTTGTTTTCGAGACAGGGTCTGTCTGTGTGTCCCTAGCGGTCCTAGGACTCTTGATGTGACCTCCCAAGATCTTCCTGCCTCTGCCTCCTGAAAGCTGGTGTTAAAGGTGTGCATCACCATGACTGGATATTCCCCCAGATCTCTTGACTGGTTTCAACACTCAGTGAGTTGAGAGACAGAAATAACAGGAAATGAACTAGGGTGGTCAGTAGGACTGGGAACAGCCATTTTGCATTCGGTGAGCCTGAGCAAGGAACTCTTTTTGGCATAATTAAAACCAAATCTCAAGAGATGAAAGTAAACAAAGAGACTGCTTATCCTCGCTCTAAAGACACATGTAAATCCTGATCCTAAAGGTCCATTACAGCACAGCGTCTGTGTGAATTATTATTTATGTCATGATGACCGGGCGTAATGTTCCATTCAAATGTTCACAATCCAGATTGTCACCAGGACCAACCTTACCCATGCCCCAATCCCTGTTCTTGTCACCTGTGTTTGCAAATAGAAAATTTCCCCTCTGGATTCTTGGGGAGAACCTGGTGTTGTATCAGGATACCACAGAAATTATTTCAAGAAAAAGATTATGCAGTGTAATGCTTAGCATTTATATAGGTTTTTTTGATTCCAAAAAACAACTTATAAATATCGCCTACCATGACAGCATCCTTTCGAGGTAGGTGAGTATTATTGTCTCTACATTAACTATAGAAACCCGAGGCCAAAGAGTGAAGGACTCTGTTCTGAACTTGGTGTCAGGAGCCATAGTGAGCATGGGCATCTTGGCCATTTGCTCTGGGCTCTAAAGAGGTCACACCTCTCTCATGTAGCAACAGTCTCCATTAATACAGGATTATATATTGTAGAGATATAAAACAACAACACACAGTGACATTATAGAACAATAATCCAATATTTCTGTTTCTTAGTAAAATATGTTAAGCACAGTATTTAAATTGCATTTGTCTGAAAAGCATTTGGTATATTAAATAGCAGAAGGTATATTAAATAGCTCTATAAACATTTGCTGGCATACTCTTAACAGCATAATAATTCTAAATAAATTAAAATCCACCAACGCATAGAGACCTTTCCTTTATAATACTGTAAACCAAACACAAATATGAAACGGCATTGTTCTTCAAATGCAGACTCAATGGCTTGCTGACTATTAAGCAGGGGCGCTTCATTTTTCTGAGCTTGAGGAAAGTGTGTATACATACATATATGTGCATATATATATATATATATATATATATATATATATATATATATGAAAGAGAGAGGGCCGACTGTGGTTTTTAAAATAAAATAACCAATTTGGGAGGGGAAAAGAATGCAGTTGAAAGGTGAAAATGAAAGACTGTTATTTCTATATTGTATGCATTCTGGGGAATTCATACCTTTCCCAAAGATATTCTCACACTTTGCACTAGTGCTGAGGTAAACACAGGGATGCTGTTAAACAAGAACATTTAGTGAGAAGACAGACTGATACCAAAGAAAACATGGTATCAGAAGACAACGGGATAAAAATGGGTGTTTTTCAGGGGTCTTGAGGGCTGGCATGAGATGAGGGCGTCTTTGCTCAGCTGCCTGAGGTCTTGGAGATGGTTTATTAGGGCAGAAACTTGGGTCTGTCTGTCTGTGTTTTCTCCCCGCTTTCTCTAACTCCAGACTTCAGCATTATTAAAGGATAGGGCTCACCTCATACTAAAACCTGGGCAGCTGGGCCAGCAGAAAAGGTTCTAAAACCAGTAAGAAACAGGAGACAAGAACCAAGTCTTAAAATCTGTATGCAGACAGAAAAAACTAACTCCTATGCTGGAATGACATTCTCTGTTAGAGCTCATAGATATGAAAGTCTTAAATTTAATATACGGTGCTAAGATGTTGTTAGCTAGATATTACATGTCATTCAGAGAACATTTTAATAAGTGTGCTTTTTTATTTCTCCTTAGAAAAAAAGAAAAGATGTAGTAAATCGTTGTCTTTGCTCTAGTCCTTCCTGCATTGGGTCTGAAGCCTTGCTTGTCTGTCAGTGAGCTATGCACTCAGGGGCTCCCTCCCGGTGGCATTGTGAGTGGCAGGTTGGTTGGAGGGAGTCTTGAGTTTGGACAGATTTGAGCAGTTCGGCTGTTTGGTTGGCTGTAAGGATTTGGCATAAGGTGAATACCAGTCTCTTTCAAAGACATCTTTAAGTTGCTTAATGATGCTCCTGTTGTCTCTCACATCTGCCTGGTTGATGACAAGGCCCGTGCCAGCATTCTGGGTAAAGTCGTTCCCTACCCAATCAAAATTTCCTGCAAACAAAGAAATCATAGTGAGAAGGTACAATCAACTGGGAAAATTCCCAATATATGAAATACAGAACAGATTCAAATAAAAAAAAACAACAACATAAAATAAACACCCAGGAAAACAAGAGAGGCAGAATCGTGTTGACAGCTCCAGAGAAAAAAATTGCAAGAAGCCCTACATATGGTGGATTAATATTTGCATATTATTTTGGCATTTTCTTCAGCTTTGCTCAAGTTGAAACTCAAAACAAGGAATCTGCTGTTCTTTTTCTGTAAATGTTATTTCTTATTGATGTTCACAAGACACACTAAATACAGCAACATTTAAAATATATAGGAATACACTTAAAAATCCTGTGAACAATTACTACCTTCTCAAAGAGACAACATCGAATCCATATGTATAAACATTATTATGCAGAGACACTTCACAATTGAGACAAAGCTGAAGGCAGAGAAGTGGCTCCAGCACTCCCTAAGGAGACTGCAAGGCATCCCCAGGGCGGGGGAATTGGCTGCTTGGCCAGATACTGTGAGCACAGGCTCACAGGTCTGACTGAACCTTAGATAGATGGCTGATTCATTTCTCAGGATGGTTTTCATGAAACTGGTTGGTTTAAATAGTAGAAATGTATTCTCATGGCTTTGGAGACAAAATCAAGGTTGGTTCCTTCTGAGAGCTAAGGGAAGTGTGATGGCTAATGTTTGTTGCCAACTTGACACATCTAGGAAGAACTACCACCATCAGATTGGCCTCTGGCTATGTCTATGGGGCATTATCTGGACTGCTAATTATGTAAGAGGGCCCTGTCCACTGTGGGTATTGCCATTCCCTGAGAAAGTGGGCCTGGGCTGGATAAGAAAGGTAGCTGACTATAAGCCTGGGATCAAGACAGCAAGCAGCATTGCCCCTGTGGTTACTGGTACAAGTTCCTGTCTTGAGTTCTGGTCTTTGTTTCTCTTGATGATGGACCTTAATCTGCAAGCTGAAACAACCCTTTCCTCCCTAAATTGCTTTTGGTTATGGTGTTCATGACAGGGAGAAAGAAGCAAATTAGGATGGAAAGGATGAGTTCCAACCCTCTCTCCTGGGTGGCTCTTTCTCCCTGTCTCTCCATGCTGTCTTTCCTCTATGCGTGCCCTCAGCTAGCCCTCTTCCTTATTTTGCTTTTGAAACAGGATGTCACTGTATAGCTCAAGCTGGCCTCAAACTCACAACAGTCTTTCTCCTCAGCCTTCTGAGAGCTGGGATTACAGACACAAGCCACCATGCATAGTTCCTCTGTGTTTTGCTTTCGTTGTAAAGGATATATAGGCCATATTAGAATGTCTACTTTAATGACCTCACTTGGGAGTGATTTTCCTTTTTCACATTCTTTAATACAGGGAATCAGGACTTCAGTATATGAATTTTGAGGTTGGGATAGTTTCAGAAGAGGTAATAATGGCTATGCCATTAAGGCCTAATCCATCTTCAAGGCTGGGGTGGTTTGAATGAAAATGGCCCTCATAGACTCATATGTTTACATGCTTAGTTCCGAGTTAATGAGCATTCAGGGAAGGCTTAGGAGGTGTGGTCTTGTTGGAGGAGGTGTGTCACTAGGGGTGGGTGTCTTTCTCTCTCTGTGTCTTCTGTCAAAGGATCAGGTTGTAAAGCTCTCAGCTACTTCTCCAGCACCCTACCTACCTGCATGCTACCCCATTCTCTACCATGATGATAACAGACTAAGCCTGTGAAATTGTAAGCAAGCCCCCAATTTAAATGCTTCCTTTTATAAGATTTGCCTTGGTCATGGTGTCTCTTTAAAGCCATAGAACACTAACTGAAGCAAAGGTATGGGAAAGGGCTGAGCAATCCTAACCTCCTATGTATGTTTCTTTGGTATCTAATGGGTAAAATCAAGCTCTGTCCTTAGAAAGGGGCAGTGCTGTTTATTTCTTGGATCTTCCTTATCCTGTGTTGTTCATTAGGTACCCAATGTTTACCAGGTCTGATATTAAGAATGTGGATATAAATCTGAAAATGACAGTTCCTGCCTTCAGGGTGCCAATGAAGGAAACAGTCACTAGAACACAAACAGTAGGAAAGGGCACACTAGAATTTTACACCCAAGGCCACAAGCACTGGAGAGAAGGCTTTCTACCCTTGGCTGCTGTGGGATGTTCTGTATGGCAAATGTGTTGCTCTGATTGGTTAATAAATAAAATACTGATTGGCCAGTAGCCAGACAGGAAGTATAGGCAGGACTAACAGAGAGGAGAATTGAGGGAAGAGGAAGGCAGGGAGATAGACCGCAGCTGCCGCCAAGACAAGAAAGATGTAAGGTATCAGTAAGCCATGAGCCACGTGGCAAAGTATAGATTAATAGTAATGAGCTGAATATAAGAGTAAGAGCTAGACAACGATAGGCCTGAGCTAATGGCCAAGCAGTTTAAATAATATAAACGTCTGTATATTTATTTTATAAATGGGCTACTGAACTGCTGGAGCTTGGCGGGACCCGGAGAGAAAAACTCTCTAGCTACATTTGGCTAGATGTACCAAGAAGAAGCTGTGCATTGAGTAATGAGAAGCACACTAAAGGTTAACTGGGACAAGAGACAACCAAACTCCCAGAGGAGGGTGATATTTTGTAGGCAGAGCAAAGGTTGAGAATTTGGACTATTAAGGGGTGTGGTCAAGCTGCAAGGGAGTCTGAGAGGGGAGCAACTATGATTTATTGTCTACTTTGGGCAAAGTACAGTACTTGTATTTATATACAATATTTTGTATGATGGAAAGAATTCACCACGAGGAAGGAGATGTTCACAGAGGTTCCTACATTTGTCCCATGTTTCATGGTTAACCAATGGTACTCCAGAGAAAACTGTTGGAGCTGAGGTTCATAGTCAAATATAACTCCAGAACCAGTACTTCTTTGGCTTCTGTGTTGTATTGCCTCTGACCCTGAAGGCATCCACTGCCTGCGTCACTCTGGACAATGACCTCAGGCTCTGAGGCATCACAGCCACACTGAGATTTCTGCTTTGTGCACTGGCAGATCAGATTTTCTGGAGGAAACAGACACAGACAAATGTGTTGGGGTAAGCCCTGGGAGGAGGAAAGAAGATGGAGAGAGGTGAGGACTTTGGGGCCTTATCCTGTAAATCTAGCTTTTTCCTGCCATCAGTGAACAGGCCAAGATCAGGGTATTTGTGGATTTCAAATGCTTTAGTTGGCTTCTTTTCGAGATAGCTCTGGGAAACTTCATGCTGACACAGGAATTTTGGCTGACCTTCAAGGTGACATATGCTTCTGTACTTTTTTTTTTTTTAAAAAGCTGGGCTACAATTTCATCTGTTATCTATTTAGATGATTTCAGCTCCCAAAAATGCACACCAAGACTGCAATATCCAGAATGCAGTGTGTCCTGTGTGTATATGTGATGTTGAGGGTGCCAAAGAGCTCACTTTGCTGGTAGGCAGCCTTGGGCATCTTGCCAGCACCTTTAATTAACCCCCTACTCCCTCTTTAGCTGTCTAATCACTCAGACGCCTTCCTGATAAATTTTCAGAGCTTAACTCAGATCCATTCTGGAGAATTTAAAACGAGAGAGATAACGCTGCCTGAAGATTCTTCTGGAAGTCTCATACAAACTGAATGGAGCTATAATCCCATGCACTGGGGATTTTATTAGTTCCACATTATCAATGAATATTGAAGAAATGATTTAGGAGATTTTGGAGTGTGCTTTATCAGTTATTTTCCCTTTTGAAGTCCTTTGAGTGTTTTTATGTTAGAGCTCTGCTTCTCTCTAGGGAATCAGGGTTTTGCTAAAACTGTTGTCTACAAAAATGAACTCACCTAAAAACATCTTAGCTCAGGAGGAGAAAGAGAACAAGAATCCAATCTTTGCTAAGATCCCAGAGCCACCAGAGCCAGTGTGTAGAGCCATTCATATATTATCTCTCTTAACCATCACACCACCATCGAAGAGTGGGTGCTGCTGTCCCACTCTCACAGATGGGGAAACTGAGACTCACATGAGATTTACAGGACTTGCTACCATCTTCTACTTTGTGTCAATGCTGTAATTCAATTACAGATTTTTTTTTCTGATCCCCAAACACTGATTTAATTTGTCCAGGGAATGTTTGGATATCAGTGAGCCACTTCAAGACCAATAAACATTCATTACTAAGCTATCACCCCATGTCTGGTCTTGGGTTGAGTTCTGTCTTCCTCTTTGTTTAAGGTGTCACTGGACATGCATGTGACATCTTACTTTAAATCAAAGCTACAATAAAATATCTTGATTTGGGGTCTTAAGCCACTGTGTGTATGATTGGATTCATCCCTAAGTTTTAGATAATTTAGCCAGAAGTTCCTATTTTTTTTTGTAAACATTTTTGAAGTTTTTGTCACTCATTTTTAAGGTCTTTAAATTTATTTATTTAATATTTATGAGAGTTTCACCTGCATGTATCTGTGTGTACCACTTATGTGCCTGGTGTCCTCAGAGGTGAGCAGAGGGCAGTGGATACCCTAGAACTGGAGTGAATGGATGTTGTGATGCCCTACATGGATAGTGGAAATCAAACCCTGGTCCTCTGCAAGAGCACCAAGTTCTCTAAACTGCTGAGCCATTTCTCCATTCATTGTCACTGTCTTAAAAAAAAGCCAGTTTTATTGTTTTCCATAGGCTGATAAAGATGAGGAAATTAAAACAATCCCATTTTGAATCACCTTTGAATGTGCTTATAATCTTAAACAATCAGAATTACATATTAAAAAACTTTTTTTTGAGGTAGGCTCTCTCTATATTGTCGTAGCTGGTCTGGAACTCATTATGTAGAGCAGGCTGTCCTCAAACTCACAGAGATCCCCCTGCCTCTGCTTCCTGAGTGCTGGGTTTAAAGGATATGCCACCATGCCAGGCAAGTCTTTAAATTTTTTTTTTATTTTATCTTTAACTGTGTATATTTATATGTGTCTGCATATGGGTTTGTGTGCATGAATGTGGTACCCATGGAGGCCCAAAGAAGGTGTCAGATCCACTGGAGCTGGCATTAAAGGTGGTTGTGAAAACACCCAACATAAAGTGCTGAGCACTAAACTCTGGAAGATCAGTAAGCGCTCCTAACCGCAGAGCCGTCTCTCCAGCCTCACGTATTAAAAACAAAACAAAAAACAAAAAAACCCCTAAGTGATCTATTTTTAAGAAGGCAAAGTCATAATTAGGAAAAATGGAGACCGAGATCCTCAGAATGATATTGCAGTGATCTCATAGTCTGGACAGGACACCCAGCTCCTCTCCGGATACCTGCATGGCCGAATTACTTCCTTATTCAGACCCCATATCCTCACTTCTAAACATGAATTACACCCTTCTCTCTGTTAACAGCGATGCTAAGTGGACTAAATAAGGTAAAAGTGCTTCACGAAGTAAAGGTTTTTTATTCACCCATGGAATTTAGAGAAATAACTGATAGGGGTTCCATATTCATTCCTGCATTCCACAAACATGTTTTTCTTCTCTGCCGAGGCTGCCACTTCACCCCAATTCTTTAGGATTTGCGTGTCTCCTTTTTATAGACAATGTCAGTTCCGTCTGTGATGATTCCAGTGAAGGAATTACCCTGGCCTCCCACACGCTGTGAAAAGTTAGAATAACCCCACCAGTGTAATAATGATTTATGCACCTGGAATTTTATTGCCTTAATAATAATTGCTAACATTAATTGGGCATCACTCGTGTGCCAGGTGCTTTGTGTACATTATCTCTCATTTAAACGTCACTCAGTGAAGTTAAAAACTGCCACCAGCCTCATTTACAAATCAGCAAACTGAAATTCAGGGAGCTCCAGGGAGCCACTCCAAGTTAGACATTTAGAAAATGGCAGAGATGTCATGAGAAGATGGCATGGATGTCCTTGCTGCCCAAGGGAGCGTAATAACTCCCCAGAACCCCAAGATAGGATGTCTCATGATTCTGTAGACAGGAGAAGAAGCATTTTGGGTCCATATATCTGTTCCATGCTGGATGGAACTCACCTCTCACGAGCCCTCTGTCTCCTTGCTTATAAAATGAGCCAAATGGACCAGAGAATGTCTACAGGATGTAGATGGTGAACTGTCTTCCAGGATTGCCAGCCACGGAGTATAGAGAGGGTCTACCTAGCTGAAGAGCTCTTGGCCTTCACCCTCCTGCTTTTTAGTTGCACAACCTCATCAATAGCTACAGTGGACCCCTAATGTCTGGGTGATCCCCGGGAGGGAGCTTTTTACCCCCATACCCACCAATGTAAGCTGCCCCGTCTGTCACCATGTACTTGTTGCGGTTTAATTTGGGAAAGGTCTGGTTCTTTTGTTCTTTCGTTGCACAAGCATTCTCTCTTTCCAGATCAAAAAATTTCTGTAAGACAAAAAGCCAAAAGAAGAAGAAGAAAAAAAATGGTAAGAAAGCAAAGCGGGTCAGTTGAGAGTGTTTGGGGTCTTGTTCATAAGCACAAAGGAGTCTATTATCCAAATATCAACAATAGACCTCATATTGGGTTATTAAAATGACACTCTTGTTACTTGTATAGAGGAAGCTATTTTTACTCTCCATCCATATAGGCAACAACAAAGAAAATTAGCATGCTCAACTAGCTCTATAATTAACTCTGCAAAGCTAACAAATGAACACAAAATTCATTCTCTGAGCAGGGTGAGAGCTAGGAGGTTGTTTAATTCTCACTGTCTTATTCAGCAGGGCACACTGGCACTGGAAGCAGCCTCTGGGCGCTCTGTGTCACGCATGCCAACAAACTGAATGAATATTCTTACCCGGTGCATACATTATGTCAATGACTAGCCGATTCATCTGAGAATCTGCAAAGGTCAAAAGAGATTTTGCCGCAAGAACAAATGGTTTCCATTGGAACACCTAAGTTCACGCAGGCTTTTTCAATGGACAACTAAAAAAAAAAAATCACAAATTCATACTATGGAATTCTAATGTCAGCATGACTCCAAAATTATTATTATTATTAGTTAATAATAATAATAATAAATAGCATTCTACTTCACCTAAGACCCAAAATAGAAGAGCTTGGGGAATGAGGCCTGGTTGCAGGGAAGACAGGCCTTAGAAATTTGGGCAGTGTTGGATGAAGTGCCCATTGTGAATGAGCCCATGCAACTCTGAAGGCTGAGCTTAGAGGAGACACACACTGAAGTCCAGGGTCTCAGGTCTCCACTGCAGTCTGGAACATGGATTCTAGACTCGAGGCTCTAGCCTCTGTGTGCTGGAAGAGAGGCAGAGGGCAGATGTGGAAGATGAGACTTCGTGTGCAATTTTAAGGTTCTGCTTGTTCTAATTTGGTTTGGGAAAATACTGAGAGTTGGTCTGGCCTTGTGCTTCATGCTGGGGGAGGGGCAACCTGGTGATCATTAAGGGCCCATCTAGATTTTCCAAAAACTCTATTCTGAGCTTCCTGTGGGAAACTTGTGAGACAGCAGAAAACAGATCAGAGTCTCTGACATTATTAGAGGTCTGAATGTGCTGGGAGAGAAGCAAAGAGATAAAAAGAATTGGGTAATTTATTAAACAAAATAATTCAAGTTAGCTGTGAAAACATTTTTTTAGATTATAATTTAAAAAATTAGGCATATGTATGTATGTTGAAGTGTGGGTGTGTGCGTGTAAATGCAGGTGTCCACAGAGGCCAGAGATTTTGAATTCCCTGGAGCTGGAGGTATAGATAGCTGTAAGCCACCTGAATCACCTGCTGTGGATGTTGGGAACTGAACTCGGGTCCTTTGTAAGAGCAGTGCATGTTCTTATTTGCTGAGCCACCTCTGCGGCCCTAAACTGACAATCTTGCAAACAACAGTCTCTCTCTGATGTCCTCAATGATACCAAGCCACATCTGGGCAGGGGATGAGAGCATCTACTTAGAGACAGAGTGCCCTGCCTGGTCCCAAACCATCTCTCTGCCTTGTCAGGGCTCTTTGCCTCCTGCAGACACACTGTATGCAAAGTTTCTATACCCTACTTTTCTTGTAAGAGCTCCCTGGCCATCTGTGTCCTAGATGATAGGGCCATGTTTCCTTCCCACCCATGCTTGTCTTGACATTTAAAAATACATGGCCTCTGTTTTATAAAATGGCCAGCAGTGAGCTATTAATGTATGGCTTATTCAAGATTCATGACCATCTGTGTCCAAAATGGTGAAGCTGATGGGGTTCTGCAGAGGCTACTATGGTGGATTCCTCTTTCTTTGCAGGATTTCAAATGCAAGAGCCTTAGATGCAAGCATGCTTTGGGGTCAGGAAGCTGCATGGTGGGGAAGACTCTTGACTTTGGATGAAGGGAGATCAAGAGTGGCTGTGGGAGTGAATGTACCATACTGTGAGCTCCAGCTCCTAGAAACCTCATAAACTTGACAGAAGATCCTTTGATTTTACTCACTGACCTCCAGGATGCATGATGCTCACTGAGGATACCAAATCATAGATGCCAACAAAGAAAAATCTGGACAATGCTTGATCCATAGGAGGGTGTCCAAGTCTGGTACTGAAAACCCAGGCAAAGGCCCACATCTTGGGAGGTCATATGCCCTATTGGGAGAGTATTGCCTTTGTTTTGCTTAATGGGCATGCCGTGTCATTCAAATTACATTCTAAGTAGCTTTGTTTACGCACATAGATTAGTGTTGCTATCAGCTTTGGTCTAGGAAGCATCTTTCTGCAGTGGTCAGTCGTTAATACAGAGACTCATAATTGGTTAGAGCATTGAGGAGACATGACTACTGAATCAGCCATAGATGGAACATCTATACTGCAAGGCACACAGACCATCAGAGAGGAGGTAAGAGCTGGGAGAAGGAGCAGGGAGAGGTGGGAAACCCTCACTGCTTGGCAGGACACAGCTGTTGCACCTTCGATTTGAAATAAGCTGTGATAACCTGCACTAAATTTCCATAAGCCTGGGTCCATTAACACTCTGTCGTGGAAGCAGGGGGTGGGGAAGTGTGGTTCCATCCTTCCCTGTGATGTATAAGCAGTTCGTGGTTGATGGGAAGGGAGAGGGAGAGGCATTTTCTTCAGGTGTGTGGCTGCTCATGCCAGGTCCATGCTCCTGTAAACAATCCCTCTGTAAACAGCCACAAGGAAACTCACTGGGGAGAAAAAAAGACTTGGGTATTGCTCTGGGTTCTCTTTGCTCTCCTCACTGGTAGTATAGTCTATGTTATCACTGCGTTTCCCAGCTCCCCACCTTTTTTTTTTTTTTTAACTGCCTTCATTTGCGTATACCAGTTCAGCACATATTTTGAACACTACTAGCTTTGTGTCAGTCCTTAGGAATAGTGACTAGACATCTGGTTTCTGCGTCACTTGACTTCCCCTGATGCTGTCCCCGAGCTGAAACCACTCCAGCATTTTCTTCTCTATGAAGAGGCATCATGCACAGCCGGATGGGTCTCTTGGGCCTTGCCTGGCTCCCCGTATCAACCTCTGCTTTTCCTCCCAGTATTTGATTTCAAATCCCAGTTGGAATTCTTACCGTGTCTTGGTTATTTCATATACTTTCAAATCTGGCCTACAAGACAGATGATTGGTAATAACCACAAACTTGTTTTCCTATTTCCAATACTTACAAAGATATGTAAACTCATAGACATGGGGGTGTCTGCTTCAGTTTTAAAAAATTAAAGTTAAGTACAGAGTTGTACAGAGATAGAGACAGAAATTCTGGGGTCCCCTATATGGGAAGAAAGGAAAACAGGTAATGGTGCTGAGACTCTCGGACCAGGATCATCCTCAAGCCTCTGTCTTCTGTCCCAGTGAAACACAGCCACCCTTCTGAACACACTCATCAGCCTCCCTTGTCTTCTGGTGTCACCCTGCGGGTGATGTCTGTAATGGGACGAAAGCTGAGAGGATGAGGATGCCACCACCTGTAGGTCTAACCACCAAGTCTTCCGCTCCTCCCTCTGTTTGTCTCTGGGATATTGAGGGTCGGGGATAAGCTGGAAGTTGTGATTCAAGATGGATACCTCAGGGACCCTGCCATCATGTGTCCGCAGAGGCCTCAGGAAGCACAGGGCCTGTCCTAGAGTGGAGTCTCAGCACACAGCTGTTGAATGCACAGGGGCTTGGTTTGGAAACCGAGGACAAAGGGATTAGTAGTCACCAGTCAGCTGAAGGTGGGGAAGAATGCTGTAGGCTGAGGAAATAGCACCCACAAAGGTCCTGAGGGGAGGAGGCAAGGAAAATCAAAGGGGAGCCTGAGAGTTAAGTTAGCACATTTTGTGGGTACTGTGGTTTGAATGGGGAATATCTCCCATAGGCTCATGAGATTGAACACTTAGTCTAGCCGGTGGTGCTATTTTAGGGAGGAGGTAGGACCTACCTGAAGAAGTAGGTCTGTGGGCAGGGGTGGGACAACCCAAGGTCCGTCCTTCCTGACAGGCCAAGATGTAACAGGTCAAACTGTCAACTCATGCCAGCGAGGCACAAGTCCCAGTCACTGTGAAACTGGGGGCTCAAATCAATCCTGCCTCCCTTCCATCACTTCCTGTCAGATATTTCATCACGATGATGAGAAAAGGGGGGTTATTAGCAGCTCCCCACCTTGCCTTCCTCTGGGCATCCAGAGATGGATGAGCACGTGACATACAGATTGGAGCAAGCCCAGGGGGCAGGGCTGGTGGAACGGTGGGCAGGGTCAGCGTGTGTTGATGGATGTTTCAACTCTTTGTCAATGTTACGAATAAGATTAGTAGGTGAATGAAGTGGTTCCAACAAAGTGTGTCCTTGAGGGGGCTGAGGAGCTGGTTGGGAGGGCAAACTGGTCACTGTTCCCACTTGATAACCTGAGCTTGGATTCCTAGCGTCCACATAAAGCTTGGCAGGCAGCTGTGCATAACATTAGTGATGGGGGTAGATGGAGACAGGTGGCCCCTGGAGCTTGGTGGCTAGCCAGTCTAGCCAAATTAGTGAGCTTCAGGTTTGGTGAGAGACCCTGTCTCAAAAAAACAAAACAAAACAAACCAAACCAAAAAAAACCAGGTAGAGAGCAACTGAGGAGGACATTTGGTGCTGACCTCTGGCCTCTACCTCCCCCTCCCCCACCATGTGTGTGGTGTGTGCCAACAGCTTTGGTAGACATGTAAAGGGAATGAGCCCTTTTTATTTAATAACACAGGCAATAAAACACTTACAACTTTCAAGCTGCAGTTGGCTATTTCAGTGCAAATAGCTTTAAGAGACGAAATGAAGTTAAATGTGAGGGGGTCAGTCTCCTTCCAGAAGCTAATGAGGAGCCGGACTTTAACGCTTCGTAACACCAAAGCTTCTCTTATTTTCCCATCCAAATCTGGCCAGTATGTCCTGCAGAAGACAAAGAAAGAAAACTAGTTGAGAAATAAATTTTACTCGTCAGCAGAACGCGTTGCTGTTTCTTTGTGTGTTGCTTTATTCTGTAACATGTCAACCATCTTGTAGGATAGCTTGAAGACACAGACCTTTGGAGGTAACCACCAAGAGGTGATGTGTTTCTGGGACCTCCTTACAGAAGATCTTTTTATACAAGTCCCATATACATAGACCTGATAGAAGGTCTCAGGTCCATGGGGTGAAGCTACGTGGAGCCAGTGTGCAGATGGACTGACCACCCTGGGTTGTCCTCAGTTTACCTCCTATGCTTTCCAGGCCTCACTGTGGTGTGAGCATCTACCTTTGGGCAGAATTAGCTATGGGTCTTGCACACTTCCTCCCCGATGTCACGCCAGTCTATGTTTTTCGATGACATCCCTCATTGTCCATTGACCTTCCACTCTGCTTATCTGAGCTGTCCACTGCTCTTATCTCCAGGTTGTCTTGAGCACCATCTCTCCAGCCCCAGCCATCCACAGCTCCCCTCCCTCCTTCCCCTGGGCTGGATACTGGGAAATCCTCCATCAGGCCACAGCTTCCTCTGCCGTCTAAGCCTCTTCCCATGCCAATTCTTCCGGAAGACGTAGCTTCTCGGCCCTTGGCATGTGTTTCTATTGCCATGTGGTCCCTGGGCTGAATTGTGTGTGCATGTGGCCTTCTGCTCCACCCATCCCCCATCACGTCGTTTCAGAGGTGTCAGGCCACGTTATTGGGAACTGTGGCCTGTCAGTGCTATAACCATGGCATCGCCAGGAGGCTGCTCTCTGTCTGACCCCCTCTCTCTCTGACCCTCCTGCCCTCGAAGCTCCCTTTTCTCAGTCACATGAAGCCTGTCCTTTATTCCTGATGGGATCTATGATCCCCCAAATTCTGACCCCTTTAGCTCCTCCTGGTCTCTTTTGCCTGGACAACCCAATTCCGGTTATGACCACCTGCAGGCCACGTGTCCCTCTATCTTCCTCTTGATCCTCGCATGTCCTAAATCCTGGGTGGTACTAGAATGCTCTCTCAGTTTCTAGGGACTACCAGGAATGGTCACCTCAGCCTTGTACTCTAAAGTGATCCTTTACCACAGTTCTTTGCTCTGTCAAACTCACCTCTACAGCCACCAACATGACTGCCTAAAAAACGGGTGTGGTCCTGTCACTCCTTCCATTAAAGCACCAAAGTCTCCCCAAATCATGAGACTCTCTAGTGAGCAGCCTCCCCCGACCCCCTTGCTCCCCATCCCTGCTTCCTCTCCAGTGTGGTTTATCACTACCTCATCTTGGCTCTGTGATCCAGCATTGAACCTGGCTGGCCTTTTTCTCCACCCAAAGTTTGCTCACACTGTCCCCTTTACCTGGAACAATCCCCTTTCTCACGACCCCACCATTTTTTGTCTACTTCGTGAATGCTTTGTGATGTAATTTACGTAAGACTTGCTCAATACGCTTCCTCCAATTCTGGCATGGCATTGTGGGGGCCTTTCAGTGTCTTGTTTTCTTTAAACCCCTTCAGTCCCATTCATACATCTGTGTTCTAATAATCTTCCCTGTGCCTCTCTGCCCACTTCAGATAGCATTCCAGGGCACATGCATTCATGCTGAAATCATAAATGCACATATCTCAGCAGACAGTTGTTAAATTTATACATGAATGAAGGCTGTTATTATAGTAATTTCCCATTATCCATGGGGATCTTCCAGAGACTCCCAGAGAAGGCTTGGAAAACTTCAGATACTACTGGACACTACATGTTCCCTGCTTGTTCTTCAATGTGCCGACTCAGCAAATAAGGTATTGGCAATAATAACTAATAAGGTAGAACAATTTTAGTAATATAATACACTAAAATAAAACTTTTTAAAACTCATAAAATGATTTTTAAATAGTGTTTTATTACTTCCTTGAGAATTTCATACAATATATTTTGATGATATTCATTCCCCTCCACAAATTGCTTTTTTTTTTTCTCTTGGAACTTTCCATTTGATATTTTTAGACTGTGGTTAAACTGCAGGAGGGGAGGATTACTGGACCTCGACATATTCACTCATCCTGCACACATGTACCTATTTCCTTCTGAAAGATGGATTTCACATGACTGAAAAGTCAAATCAGGAGCAACTCCAAATCGAGACCTAATCAGTAAATCCCGGAAAGAAAGAGCATTTGTCGGCTCTGGCAGGAACAAGTGAAACTGAGCTTTCCATTTTTTAAATGTAATGTTAAAAATAATTTTTAGGTTAGCATCCAAGGTAATAAATAGGTTTCGCCATGCCATCTTCATACCTATCTGCCATCCATCGTGCCTTGCTCTCATTCGTTTGTTTTGGTGGTCACTGTTTGTAGCACAGGGGAATGAACCCAGAGCCTTGCAAACATTAGGCAAATGCTCTCTGTCTGAGTCAATCCCCATCGGCGGTTCTGATTTTTTTTTTAATTGTAGGATTTATTGCATCATCATCACACTCTCTGCAACTTGAAAGGCAGGAATTCCAACCTTGTCTCTAGCTGATGATGTATGTTTAGATCATCTCTGTTCTGAGAGTTCATGACTTTTCTTCTTTCATTTAGGTAGCTGGCAGTGAAGGGACTAACTTTTAAATCTAAGATATTAGTTAATTCTACAAATACACTGAATTCACTTCAGAACCTCCCTATTTTTTAGGATTATGTAAATGCAAGACCAGTTTGATTTCTAAATAAAATGCATTTGTATGATTGAGAAGAATGTAATTATAATTAGAATGTTTGAGCTACGTATTTTTCTTTGGTGCCCTTTTGTTTAGAAAGCTGAATGTATAGGCTTGAAACTTGATTTGTTTCTGTCCATGTCCTGTAGGTAGTCCCAGTAAGCTTATTTATTTGCTGAGCTAGGCTTGGTGGAAACTTTCTTTGGTCTGTTGACTCTTTCTATATTTGAGGTGAATAAATATTTCTGTTTTTTTTTTTTAATTCATTTTTAAGGTTAGCTCCTGAAACAATGAGTTTCAGCATGGTATCTTCACACACAATGCAAGAAGTATTTGAACAACAGCCAGAATGATAAATAACTAAGGTATTAGCTTTCAGACTGGTCTCTGGTTCTTTAAACATCTTTACATTTTTCCCTACTGGTAAGATTTTTGTTTCTTTGAGACAAGGTTTCACCATGAAGCCTAGCCTGCATTTAAACAATGTAGCCTTGGATGATCTTGGACTCCCTCCTGTCTCAGCCTCCCCAAATCTGAGAATACAGGTGTATACTACCACACACCACAGTTACTGCCCCCAGATTATGAAAGACCTCAGTTTTGCCCATGGGAGTCTATGGGACAGTTTTGTTAGTCTTGAGACATCATCATCCTAGAACCCCATGAACTTAGTCCCCCATCCTCCTTGGTAATGGGATAACCAAGCACAAGATGCTATGTTTCCGGAGGAAAGCTGACATCTAAAATTTAGTCTCAAGCCAAATGAACAGGAGGCATAGGAATGTGGGGAAGTGTGTGGGAAAATCCATGAACATTCAAAAGATTCACAATGTCTTAAAGTAGCTCTGTCTTAATAACATGCCTCTTACAGCTTGAAATGTTTTCCCACTGTCGGGAAGTGACCCATTTCTGGCAGTTTTTTTTGCAATCTTATAGTCATTTGCATAAAGATGCTACATATTATGCATATGTGGGATTGGCAAGATGAAAAATTTTCAAGTAATACATGGCACACTTAATCATTTAAGCTCACTAAATGGCTATTTTGAAATTATAATTTTCCCGGAATGATGAAGGTCTTCATTCATTTGCAGTCAGAAATGTGCATTTTGGAAAGTGTTTCCTGGTTAAACTAATTATTGAAAACACTGACAAGCACGGAAAGTTCTGTCCTTGCAGCAAGCAAGCAAAAGAGGGAATCCTGGCTGTGGTCCCACATTATGTGTGAGTATTCTCCTGAAAGCTTTGTTGTATGTTCTGCCCCTGAATCATTTCCCAGTTACTACGTGATCCAACTGGGGAACTGAGAAGTTATCCACTGTAAAGATACTCTTCTTCTCATATGGAAGGGTACACGGTCTGAGAACACGTATTTTAAATTCCCTCCTCCTTCACATTGAGGGCACAGAAGGAAATGCTTTTCTGTCTAGGTAATTTTCAAAGTGGAGTTTACCCAATCTTCTTTCTGAGATTGCTCTCATGCCTGTAGGATGAACTAGTGAGGTACTCCTGCAGAGTGAGACCCCAAGCCTTTAAATTGGACCCCCTTGGGGAAGAACTGCATGATGGGCAAATTGTAGATGCACAACGACAGCATGACATGCACATCTGGAGCCCAGAGGCCCGAGCACCCCCAGAGTGCAGGCTGGAAAGTTCCTGACCTTTTTGTGCTCGTACTGGATATAGGCAGGTAGTCCGTGACAGCAATGTACACGTACTGCTTGGCATCATCAATCACGCTGTAGATGGCGTCAATGTCAAAGCTTCTGTTTTTAGGACAGAAGAGTTTGGGAGAATTCTGTGAAGATATAAAACCCGAGATGTTAGAGTTGAATTGTAGGCATCTGTGCATTTAAAAGTTTTTTTATTTGTGTTGGTAGATCTTGGTTTATCGTTAATTACGTGATATGTAACCCTCCTGTCTGTTTTTCCTCCCTCCCTTCCCCCCTCTCTCTCCCTCCCCATTCTTCCCTCTCCCTTCCCCTCCCTCCCTCCCTCCCTCCCTCCCTCTTTTCTTTCTTTCTTTCTTTCTTTCTTTCTTTCTTTCTTTCTTTCTTTCTTTCTTTCTTTCTTTCTTTCTTTCTTTCTTTCTTTCTT